TGATTTTTGACGAAAAACTTCTAATTTGTAAAATGTAGGTTTGACAATGCTGATTATCTATCTGAGGAAAGTACCAACTGTAATATCACGAAATTTAGAACACTTTATTAAAGATCTGAATATATACCTTTCTGAAGAAAATTAGTTGCTTTACATGACATGCTATTATTCTTGTTATTATTGAGCTGATACTGTGCGTGCATAAGTGCAACAATAAATCTTGATCGCAAGCACCAACTCGGCTCATCATCGGCTTGCATCTACTGAAGTTATGATTCACGCATCATCTTCCTCTTGTGATCGCCTTATTTGAATAATGTTAAAAAAAAACATATTTTCATTCAATCGTTCATTCGAAAGATCAATGTGTGAGCTATTTCTAGTTCAAATTTTGTTAGAAATCATTTGAAAATAACTGAGATATTGTCTTTTCATTGAGAAAGTCTTTTGAAGAGCAGATGTTGATTTGTAGTAAGATCGATCTTTTCCAAGATGACTTTGACCAATTCATATGAAGATTTCAGAAGGAAATTTTCATCAGATGATGAGTCTTTTCTGAAAGTTTCAGAGCTGCAGTCAGGGTTTGCTAATTACTAAGATATTGAATATATGTCATAGGCTTTGTTGATAATAAAACAGAGATACGAGCTTGTTTAATACTAGAAAGAATATCAGTAGTTTGTAGAACAGGCAAAACTTTTTAAGTGTATATATCCTCTTAACATTTTGTTTTGACAAGAGAAATAATATGTGGAAATCATAAATCCAGTGTGCATGTGAACCGATCGATAGTACATTCATGCTTATACGATCAGAATTTATCGTCGTATCCATGCACCCAAAAAAATATCAGCTGAATATCATCAAGCATAGTAGCAGTTCATTAGTGGCCGATACTTTTGTCTAGAAATGTATAGCAATTACATGGAAAGATTCTTTGTCATGTATTGATCCATATCATTAAGAATTTGTGCTTTATTATCAGTCATTTGTTTAAAAAATCAAATAATATTTCAGTATAATATAAAAAACTTCCGAACTAAGACAATTAATATAAACTATTATTTAAACTAAAGAAAATTGATGCGACAAAAATCTATTTCAAAAGTTTTGTTAAGTATCTTGAATATTAAATTAAAAGCCAAACATCTATATGAATAAAGATAAATTAGGCTTTGCAAGCGTTCTCACATTCTGCTTTTGTAAGAAAGTTATTTTTATTGCCTGGACATCCTCCATAAGTGAATGATTCACAGTTTTTTGTAGCTGAATTGTAATAAAAACGTGGCATACGTGCCTTACAATTACCAGCATCTTTAGGTTGCTTACAGGCTACTAGAAGAAAAAGAATATAATTGAAATAATTTGAACAGAGAAAACATGATATTACTATCGGAAACATGCTTTTCATGTTTGTTTCGATCAGGATGTTTTGATGATGATGTACCACAACGACCTTCAAATGTTCCATCAGGTTTCTTCTCAATAAAACATCGTTGTTTAGGTCCACAAAGTTTTGCCTGATAAACAAAAATGCATTAATGAAAAACAAAAGTTGTCTCTCAAACGAAATACAATTACTTTTCCAGGTGGATTACATGGATCATTACATTTACAAATTTCACAACCATCTAGTGTTTTTTGATAACCATATGCACATTGTTTTGGTTTATTACCTGGACACTTAACTGGTCCACATTCTTTTTTATGACCAGATTTTTTCGTATCAGTATCTGAACTTCCTCCAACTAAACAAATCAAAAATAAGTCTTTCTATATGAATAATATAATGATTACTTCGAATAACTGCAACATCAATCGTTGGAAATGCTGAGTTGGTAAAATCAACTCGTATGCGAACATCATTAATAAATAAAAGTTTATTATCAGGTCCATTGATTGTTGCCGAAATTGCATAGTGATGATTAGGTGTAATATCCGATGGATTATATGTAAGTTTATATGAAATAGGAAATGTTTTTGCACTAGTTATAGTAGTCGATGCAATTAATTTTGAAGGTGCATCCATTAAACTAACATCGCGTAACTCAACTTTTACTTGTGAGTTTTTATCAATAGTATTTGAACCAGCATGAGTTACTTTTCCTGTTATAAATTTTTCAATAGTAGCACCTACATACAAATTATGAATTGTTAGTAATTATTTTCAACTGTTTACTCACTTTCAATAGTATAAATGAGAATTATTATAATAATTGTAAAAGAAAATAGATGAAACATTGCGAATAGACAAGTTTTGAAAGATTGTTTGTGTCAACAGTAAGATTACAAATATATATATATCAGTGATAGATACTCTATGTACTAGCTAAACTTCTTGTATTTTTATCTACGTCCATCAAATATATTCTTGTTACAGTTATTTATGTCGATAATTGCTTTCTTCGTAAGAGAGAGACAGATAATCTAAATTATGATAGATGAGAATTCATTCGTACCAGTCAGCTATTTCTTGTATGCAGTATAGTTTTATTATGATGCCAAAAGATGAAAGACATCTGTAAAACTAGCACTTTTTCATTAGGAACAAGATAATGTATGAAAACTGTAACGTAGAATAAAGGCTGATAAGTATTATAAAATATCTAATGCCTTTTTTTCTGTTGTTTTTGTAAAGTAACAATATCAACTCTAAATAAAATTTACATGATTGAAATTGGTTAAATCAATTATTTTCATGGGTTTTATTTTGACAAATTCTATAAGTAATTAATATAATAATGCGAATCAAAAGAAAATTCCAATCATATTTATATTTGCTAGAATATAAAAAAACACAATAGATCAGCTAATAACAAGACATCGTTTTTTTGTGCTGTTTAAACAATAATATGTTCTGAACGACATTATATTCGCTTTGACAAGGAAAAAAGTGATAAATGAATTATATATAGTTCAAATAGATTATTATTAAGAAATATAGTAGAGCCAGTACAAACTTTGATAGGAAAAAGCAGGAGAGCGTAGGGATAAACAACCACAAACACATTACAATTCATTTATATGATTTCTTTAATTTCAAATGCAGATGTTTTGTATGTTTCGATGGTAATTGCTTAAGCTACGCAAGCTTTTTCGCATTCAGCTTTTGTAAGAAAGTTATTTTTATTGCCTTGACATCCTCCATAAGTGAATGATTCACAGCTTTTCGTAGCTGAATTATAGTAAAAACGTTGGAAAGATGCTCGACATGGACCCGTTAATTTTGGTAACTTGCATTCAGCTAGAAATAGAAGAAAAAAAGACATCAATTATTGTTAAAGTAACTCAATACGAAAACAATAATATTACGTTTTAAAGGTTCATCTTTTGGTTTCTTTCCTTTAGGATTTTTCGCTTTTGATTCAACACACTTAGCTTGAAATGTTCCATCAGGTTTCTTATCAACGGAACATCGTTGTTTAGGTCCACAAAGTTTTGCCTAATAAACAAAAATGCATTAATGAAAAAAAAAAGTTGTCTCTCAAATCGAATAAAATTACTTTTCCAGCTGGATTACATGGATCATTACATTTACAAATTTCACAACCATCTAGTGTTTTTTGATAACCATATGAACATTGTTTTGGTTTATTACCTGGACACTTAACTGGTGGACATGGTTTAGAACTTTTTAGAGCTAAACCTAAAAAATTCAAAATGATATCATAGTTAAGTTTAATATTTTCTTATGAATTGTTTACATTCAATTGCATAAATGAATGTTAGAAAGACAAAAACTATAGAAAATAGGCGAATCATCTACAATAAACAAGTTGAGATATTTTCTTCTTGGTAGAAAAAAAAATATATTTTGACTCGATCTCGTTATTTACAAGGTAACTTATGTATGCTCGATGTCTATCTATTTTCTTTTCTATCTCAAATGTCTTGCACGAATACAAATATCTATATTTATAATAGCTTTCTTGATGAAAGAAACCATGAAAGAAAGATAAGAATGACGCTTTTATGATTACTAGTTGATCTTATCGTACAACAACACATAGATAGGATGTCTTCAATGGCATAAAAATAGTCGAAAAACAATAAATATGTTTGTCAAAATAAATCAATTTATAATTTGAAATAGCATAAGAATTTTTTTTCATAAGAAAATAATATTGTGATATTAGATGTAGGAAGAGAAAAAGTTCGTATTTTGTGTTTAATATGAATAAATTCTTATTTATCTTACGTTGAATCATTATGATGATTCAAAATTTGACACACGATATTGAACAGGTTTACAATAAGTGTGTTTCAGATGATATACTGAAGATTTGTTAAAAAAACCTTTCAATCGTACTGATCATTTTATAAAACAATGAACTCGATCATCTACATATATGTAGAACATTTATTCTCTACCGATTATACATTATCCATAGATATACTTTGTGTCATGAGCGCGGATTAACCTTTTCTTTGTTTTCTAATCATTTCAAAATAATGAGCGACCTCTGATTTTCACGTTCTTTATTCGACCACCCTTACACATCCAATAAAATCCATATTTGATCAATACTATCAATGGAAAAGTAGCATATTAGTTTTGCCTCATGTTTTGAGTACGTTTTACCTTCTAAAATAGTACGAAATAAAACTTGTTCAATGACGCATATCATATTGGAGTAGCAGTATTAGTTCGTATGTTTTTATTGTTTTAGTTCTCAATTCTCGTTCCATTTAATACATGTGAAATAGCAAATGAATCATTTATACGCGGTCTAATTTGAAATATTTTTAGATTTATCATGAAACGAACAATTAGTCTTTTATGTTTCTTTGCACTTATTATTACAATTGGTGCTCCACCAGTTGTTGAGAAATCCAATGACGATCAACCACAACCTGATTCAAAAGATAATGAGACTGCCGATGATGTGGTATGAAGAAATAATTTTCTTCGTATTTATTCCATTACTCTTAATTTTATTTTGTGTAGTTAAATAAGCTTGAATATGGAAGATATTTGAAAGAAGTTGTTGAAATACTTGAAAGTGATCCAGAATTTAAAAAGAAAATTGAAAATGCATCATTGGATGATATTAAAGTATTTAATGCAATAGATAATTTCTTTTTCTATTCGTTTTGATTTCTTTTAGTCAGGAAATATTGCTGAACATTTAAGTCTTGTTCAACATCATATACGTACACAACTTGATGAAGCTAAACAACGAGAAATGACTCGATTAAAAGATTTAGTTGGACAAAGAGTTCGTAATTTAAATGGTAAATATTTTTTTTAGATATGTTTTTTTAATCCCTATTGATTTCTATTACATAGAAAGACAACGTATTGCACTTGCTCGAGCTGATCCAAATGGGAAAATGTTGAAAGAATTTTTGCCTCAACATATTGATCATAAGAATTCTGAAACATTTGGTCAACTTGATCTTGAACGTTTAATTCGTCATGCATCAAAAGATCTTGATGAACTTGATCGAAAACGTGAACAACAATTTAAAGAATATGAAATGCAAAAAGAATATCAACGTCGACAAAAACTTTCTGTATGATTCTTTAAAAAAACATGTGTATGAAATCATTTTTTTATTTCTTCTTCTCTAGAAACTTAGTATTGAAGAACGTAAAAGATTAGAAAAATTACATGAAGAAGCATTAGAAAAAAAGAAAAAACATCCAAAAGTAAATCATCCCGGTAGTGTTGATCAAATGGAAGAAGTATGGGAAAAAGTTGATAATTTAGATGCAGATCAATTTGCACCAAAATCATTTTTTCAATTACATGATATAAATAGTGATGGATTTTTGGATCAAGGTGAACTTGAAGCAATTATGTTAAAAGAGGTTTTCTTTCTTATATTTTTTGCTTTTCAACAAAAATAACAAAATCCACTATTTTCTTATTTAAGGCAGAAAAAATACATGATGAAACACCAGAAGCTGATCCAGTTGAAAAACAAGAAGAAATGGATCGCATGCGTGAACATGTTATGAAAGAATTCGATAAAAATAATGATCGAATGCTTTCATTAGATGAATTCATGCTTGGTCTCAATGGAACAAATGCCAAAAATGAACAGGGATGGCAGGTAAGATATTCACATTTCTATATACATATATTCGTATTTTAGAAAACTTGATTAATTATAATTTATTTTTGTAGTCAATTGAAGACAATGCTGTGTTCTCAAATCAAGAATTTCAGGACTTTTCCGAGAAATTGGCTCCAGTATCAACTGTAATATTCTATTAGTAGCTTTTATATAGAAATATGCATTTTTATTTGGTTTTCTTTCAGTCAATACCTCCTCATCAAACTCCTTCACCGGCTAGTATTCAACAGGCTCAAGTTCAACCTGAAGCAGCAGCTCAACGTCCACCACTGCCTGCAGTACAAGTTCCGCCTCAAGCTCAACCACCACAGCAACAACAGGCTCATATTCCTCGAGCACCCAATAATTCATAGACAAATCATTTATTACTAGAAAAGTTCATCGATCTGTTTTCAACGTCAATTTATCTTATCATTCCGCTTGTTTGTTTTTGTTCATGTAATATTCTTAATGTTTTATTTTTTTTCGTAATTAAGGTTGGCATTCGGGATTAAAAAAATTCTAAAAACTACTAAATGCATTTAAAAAATTAATATTTTGTTTTTTATTCGAGCAGAAGAAATATCTGTTAGCTCATTCAATTATATCGTATAACACTAGTACCGTTTCAAAATAATTCCATCGAAAAAAGAAGACCATGATCGAGAATTTATGTCAATGATACGTCATAGTAGATCTATCTATTTTGAAGCTTCTTGTAAAGGCATTATATCATGAGGATGAATGTCACTTTTTAGGTTTTATTTTATTCTACTAACACATAGAGAGAGGATAATGTATATTTTCGAAGTTATAAAAGAGTTTCACCAAATGTTGCTCGAATAAGACTGCATCCAATAGT